TACAAGTATTACTAAAATAACTGATTTTAAACTGATGTGAAATGTCTGAGAAAAAAAATATATCTTTGAAAATAGTATAAATATTAATAAATTAATAATATAATAATTGCTAATATTAAATAAATCAATTATGGAAATTATTAATTATTTATATATACATAGACAAATATTAAATTATTCATTTTTTTTTTCAAGCTCAAATAAATGATATTTTTTACCATTTGAGAATGCTTATTTAACAATTTGTCAACATCYGACCGKGAGATTAATTATATTATGTCTATGTTTTCACTTTCGCAGACTGGTTACATTGGGGCTCTGCCTCATCTGCTTATGACTATAGTGGTGCCTCTCGGAGGTTTGCTAGCTGATCACATACGGAAAAACGGTATCCTGTCCACAACTAGCGTCAGGAAGATTTTCAACTGCGGTGGTTTTGGCATGGAAGCCACGTTTTTCCTCGTGTTGGCCAATGCCCGCACACCACTCATGGCCACGATTGCCCTGACCTGCGGCGTGGCGTTCAGTGGGTTCGCCATTTCCGGTAAGCACATGAACTTATCCCTTCCCAATCTTACACGATCCTTGCCCGAATAATAACTGCAGTTAATGGAGAAACTGCGTGTGRAGCAATAAATAAACAAAAATATATTGACCGATAAAATCCATTTGAACCAAATTATACCCACCTCATATTATAGATGCACAGTTAATATGCACGATGATATTTTTTATTTGAATCATTTATAAGTATAACATGAATAGTTTTTAGAAMGAAAAAAACTTGAGAAAATTTTCCATAAAAACAAAGTGTAAGCTTGTCGATGAATCAAAACCATTCAGACAAAARTGCCTACTRATTCGTTTCATTATATCTAAAAATATCAGTATTTTGTTGTTTAATAAGTAATAAATAATAATAATGGATGATTTTAAGTCTGATTTGTAAAAATTGCATTTTATTTATATGCATTACGCATTTAATTTTATTCCGATTTGATGACTTAGAGTCTATAGGTCCTAGATAATATTTTGAGTTTAATATTACCACGTTTTAAATAATACCCCAAAGCGGCAGTCTACTTAAAACTCTTTAAATAAGTATTATTATTTTAATTTTCAGGGTTCAACGTTAACCATTTGGACATAGCGCCGAGATACGCTAGTATACTGATGGGCATATCGAACGGAATTGGTACGATAGCCGGACTCCTGTGTCCGATCGCGATCAACATTATCATCAGGCACAAGGCACGTATAATATTATGATCTTAGACAGAGTTTGGGAATTCAGGTATTAATTGTGTGGCTAATATCCATACTAGACATGAAAAAACAGCAGAATGATGAGTGAATAGATACGTTATAGAATACCTATGGATGATAATTGAAATATGAATCTGCTGTATGTTGTATATTTTGACGATTTTATTATGTTACTCAAATGCTTATTTTACGTATTATTTTCGAAATTTTTGTTTGATATAGTCAATAAGTACATTTTTTGTTTCCCTTGTATTTTAAAAGTGATAGTATTCATGGGACAATGGTTTATAATCTGGTGTACTCATCACATGTTAGGAAGATTCATATTAATCAAAAGACATGATGTGAAGACATGAAGGTCGAATAAGATAATATAAATTAATTATTTTAGCATGATGTTCAACTTTAGTTCGTTCTAGTTAAGTTAATAAATCAACATATTCCAATACTGCATTAATAAAAATGATTTTTATAAAATACTTCATTGTTTAAAACTATTACCCATAACCAAAATTAGCGTTTTGTAGTGTATTTTTCATATTTTTACGTTATTAATAGCATATTAATATTATATGCCTATAAATAGCTATATCTTAATAGTTTAATTTATTTACTGTTTTTTAAGTCATGAACCCTAATATCCTAGTGGCACTGTCACCCCTATAAACTTTTTTCATTAGATGTAAACATGYAATATATTACTTACCTACTAAAACAGTAAAGATGTTCTTATCGTGATTGGTTTTGAAATTGTTGTAGACGAGACAGAGCTGGAGCGAGGTATTTATACTGGCCGCCGTCATTCACTACATTGGAGTGGTGTTCTACGGAATATTTGCCTCGGGAGAATTGCAATCGTGGGCCGAGCCCAAGGTCGAAGAAGATCAACAAATGGACGAAGTAAGTTTTACCTGAGCAGTGTAATTGAGACAAATATTGCCTGACAGGCGACAGCTTACCCCAAAAATTCATTTTTTTAGAAAACTTGGATAGTATTTTAAAAATTTTTTTTTTATATTTTTAAGATTTTCCTTCTTTCATCAATTACGATTTATATGAAATAATAGTAAAAAGCATCATAACATCTCAATTCAAGATAAAATATAATATGGAATTAAATTCTGCCATCTAGTGGACATATTATTCCATATAGGATAATCTGTTCTAACGCTATGTGTTTCGTAAAATAATCAAAGGTATATTATTATTTTTATATCGAATAGCACACAAATAGATAGATTTATTGCTATATAATGCAGTAAATGAAGACTACATTGTTATAAATTATAATAAGTACGACATAATTATTATTTAACTTATAAAGATGGACAAATTAGTAGGGGGAAGTCATGTGAAAACCATTCATCCCCTTCACTCTTGCAGTCTTGCAGAGGTCTTACCAAAAAAGAAAAACAAATGGTACCAAATTGTTTTTTTTTTAAAGTCTAGTCGGTTGAAAAAGTGATTTCAATAGTTTTTAGATTTCGACATTTTCTTTCAACAGCAAAAAATACATGACGTATTCATAATATAATAACTTTAAGCCATCTACAACAAAACGAGGAATTATATCAAACATCTTTTACACATATATACAGTATAATTTAACTTGTAATTTTAAAATTTAACTCTGATTTTGATTGMATTTTATAAATTATGATCTTCTTCGTTAATGGAATAATATTTTAAATTATTAGATTTTTACAACGCTAGATTATTCTAATTATTTTATA